TTTCTCATCGTCTTCTTTTTCTTCTTTTTATAACTTTTTTTTTTTTTTTTTTTTTTTTTTGAGTATTAAAACGAAACCCTTTGATGATACATTTTACCTGCATTTAAGTTTTACTATTTAATCGTAAATTAAAATCAGAAAGAACTAGAAAGAACTGGAAAAGAATGTCGGAACTTATAAAGGATCGATAATCGTGCCGGTACTTTACTATTACCCCGTACTTGTCTTTTTCGAATCTTGCCGACAAAAAACGGCACCTTCTCGAAACCACAGGATTTCCGTACCTTTCAAACTTCCGGGACAAAAGATCGTTTTTCCTTTTCCACCATTCCTCTTTCTCTTTCTTTTTCTTTTTCTTTTTCTTTTTCTACTCCTTATTCTTTTCTTCATCTTCTTTTTCTTTTTCTTTTTCTACTTTTATTTCTCCTACTACTTCTATCTGGTCACTTCTTTTAACTTCATTCGTTTTCACACTGTGAGAAAGTTCATGCGAATACTTTTTGGTCTTCTAAATCTATTCTTTTATCGCCTGTCTGATAAATATTAAATATTTCGATGCTTTTGATAGATCAATTTTATCGCAAATTAATCCTATTCAAATTTAAATCCTATTGAAAAGTTTGACAAAGAAAAAAGAACGAAACAAATACAAAAAAAATTACAATAGAAAATATTTATATATTTTAAAGAAATATTTTGTTATTTTTATTCGATAACAAAATCTCGAAGTTGGGTAATCGTTAAGAAGAAGTAAAGTAAAACGAACTGAAGTAAAATGAGATGGAATGAATTGAATCAGTTTCACAGTGTGTTCATTAAATCGACGAAACTAAAAGGGAAGCTTTACCCTTTTCGATCGAATACCCTACTATAATTATCCCCCTTTTCTGTACTATTGTCAAATGATCGTTAATCTTCGTCGAGACATAGATTTTACATTACAAGACTGTTCAACTTCTACAACTCGTATTCGTTATTCTTCGTTAATGATAAGAAAGTTCCATTGTTTCCCGTGATATCATTTTCACAAAGACTCGTGTAGTCATTTATCGTCTTAATATTAATAATCACAGTAAATTAATGAGTTGCGAAAGACAAATATATTATATAGAAAATAAAAATATAAATTAAGTAGTAATAACATCAATCTTATTCTTATCGATGAAATGACAAAAAAAAAAAAGAAAAAAAAAAACAAAAGAAACTCGCAAATGATCTCGTTTTATAGAGAGATAACATTATTTTCTAATTAATTAACAAATTCTTTCTCACGTTGCAGGATATCGGTGATATTTCGAGTAAAATCGGCAAAGGCAGTCAAAATTACGGATGCCAGTTTACTCAAACGTCTTGGTATCATAGTAATGATATTCAGTGTATTTTTAAGTATTCGTACATTGGTTGCACCACCGGTTGTCATAGTTGCACGTACGGCGGATGATTTGAAAGCGTACCTTTGTCGAACGGATTGGTGGGATCACAGCTTTACAACGCGTAAGTATCATTAATTAAATTACACTGATTGTGACTTAATGAATAAAAAATAATATTCTACAAATAGAATGTAAAATAAACGAACGAATAAATCGATACTTGCAAAGCTCGATGCACAACAGATTATTTTCAAAAAAGACAAAAGAAGTTATTATTTAATCTTGAAATATAAGTATTTTAAATCAAAGATAAAAAAGAAAATATTGAAAATTATATAATCGTAAGTCGAAGGAGTTTGATACAATGTAATATCAGTTTCGAACGTATCAAATAACTTCCATCATAATTAATAATGCAGTAATATTCAAAGCCGTTGGAAGCTAAATTTATGCAACGATACTTGCAAGTATATAAACGTTGAGGTATTAACATAGACGCTCTAAGGATTTATATCAATGCCTTTAATATTTTCTATTTACGTCACTCGTTCTATCAAAGTATACAACAGTATCGATTTAATTATCTATTAATATCAATGATCCTCTTACTCTCTCGTCATTTTTATTATTTCAAAATTAATCGTCTAATAAAAAGAGACTTTTTTCAATTATTCCACGAGCGCATCTTTTTATTTATTTGACCGAAACAATATTGGATAAAAATATTATTTAAAAAATAAATCAAACAGAGATAATCTAGAATATGTGATATTATACAATTACCAAGTTTGTGTTTGCCTAAATAATATGATACATATCTCACTCTTTTACATATATAATGGTTTAGAAAGTTTGAAAATTATCGATCATCTAAAACGTATATTCAACAAGAGTAGCAACTGCTGTAGAAAGGCTAGTCGAAAAGCCAACACACAAAACATAATGATTAGTCGTCCGGTACACGTAACTAATTAATCTTACAATATCATTTTCTTCTACCAGATTCTGAGATATATATATATATATATATACATATATATGTGTGTCTGTGTATGAGTGTATATGTATATTATACGTGTAGAAAATGTTTTACGCAGAAAGATCCGACCAAACGGTTAGCGTATGGTTTAAGTGCTATTAACGATGGGTTACACAAGCGTTACAGCTCATTACACGTGTATCGTTAAGACGAAAACTTTAATGGAAGATCATAAACCTCGTTCCGGGATATTTCAGTTGAATAAGCGTACTAGCAATCGATTTTAAAGAATCGTTAACATTTCGCAACTTCCTTAACATAAGTTACTTGAAAAAACTTCCCCTCCATCACTCCCTTCTCCACCTCCTAAAAAAATTTGGATTTTTATCGAAGCTTTGAGATTATATTAAAAGTTTACATCCGATATGTTTTCTTATTTCCACGCATATATTTATTTCGATAAATATTATTCTGATATTAATCTAAAACGCGAGAAAAATACAAGCTGAGAGATCGAAATTACCAAATATAATTGTGTTTTTATTATTTTTCTCCGAACATTGATTAATTTGCTATTCATTTGTAATGCAAAATATACGAAATTAAAAACGAATAATAATAATTTGAAACGATAAAACCGTTACCATACAAAATTATATTAAAATATCAGCTCTAACAACAAATTGCTTGGATAATCGAATCTCTGGTGGAAAAATAATTTTTATCTGTATTTAAAAAGAGACTATTTGAAAAACTATTCTGCTGTTTAAAATCCGAACGTGTTTTTATATGGAAATAATATGTAAACGAATAAAAAAAAAAGAAAAAAAAAAAGGAAAGAATAATTTATATTTATTTTTTCTCCGATGGCAAATTCCCAAACGCAAAACTTGTTAAGATACAAGTGAAAAGTAAACAACATCCGCTTGAAATTTTGCTCGTTTCTCAAACGAAAATTATATTCGTGAGGAATCATCATCATCATCATCATCAGAAGGGGATGGCATTGCGTTTACCTTTTTAAAAAAGATGCCTCTTTAAGTAGAAATACTTTACTTAGAAAACCTTCCTGCTCCCGTCTTGACGAGATCTTGCGAATTTGGTACGATTAACTTTTATCTTGAAAATAGAAGTGGTCGGAATGATGGGTCGAGGGTCGTTAAATTTACTTGAGGAATTATGCATATATCTTTCGTATTTTTTAATTTAAAAAAAAAACTAAAACTATATCGTTTGTCATAGGAAAAAAAAAGATTCGCCTAACATAAGAGAAACGTCGTGTATTTCTTAATTCGATCGATTAGAAACAATTGAGAGTATGTTAGTTCGATTTTCGAGATAAACTAAACGAGAGAGAGAGAGAGAGAGAGAAAGAAAAAAATAAAATAAAAAAAGAGAAAGAAATAAAAAGAGAAAGAGAGATGAGGCGTCAAGACCAGCAAAGAAGTAATAAATCTTACCGATTTAAGTCTAACCCAGCGTTCGTTCTCTTTCTTTCTTTATCTCTCTCCCTCTCTCTTCGTGGCAAAAGGGAGATGAAACTAATCGTAAATAAAAAAAAAAAAAAAAAAAAAAAAAAAAAAAAAAAAAATATAAGAATTTAACCTCTGCCAGTCTTTTAGTAAAAGTCCAAACCCGCATCTGAGAAACTAAATCTCTAGGACTTATCTTCTTTTTTCCCTCCTCCTCCACCTTTACTCTTTTTCATCCCTGTTTTACCTTTTTTTTTTTTTTTCGTTTCTTCGCGACCTAGGAAGAAAAAATCTAGCGGCATTACGCTCGAGTAAAAAAAAAAAAAAAAAAAAAACAAAGAAACTTACGGGGAGGAAAGAAAGAGGAAAGTTAATCGCACGAAATTACCTGTATATCGATATTTGTTTTGTATTTTTTCTTTTATTATTTTATCCCTAAAATGATAAAAGAAGAAAAGTGTGGAAAAAAAAGATTCGTAGTGTAATATCATTCTCTTTACGAATTTATCGCTTTCTTTTTTTTTCTTTTTTTTTTTATTTCTTTTATACTTTTTCTTTCCTTTTTTAAGCGTAAAATGTGAGAAACGCGAGTGACGACAAGTAGGAAAGAAGGAAGGAAGGAAGGAAGGCACTATACTTTCGTTATTCCCAAGTTTGGTAATTTTTCTAGCGGTGAAAGAGAAACAAAAAACGATAAAATAAAAGGAGAGAAAGAGGGGGTTAAAAAATAATAGAGTTAACTTATAACTTCGTGCTTTGCTTAAGTAGAAAATAGAGCTCGGTCTAGGAATTTAAGTTTTACAAAAGCGAGGAAGTCGGCTTACATCAAAGTCAAGCTCAACGTGGGAACAGGAAACTTGCCCAGAGCTATCCGAATCTTTTCGTTTCGTGAGAAACTGAGAAGAAAGAATGAGAGATAAAAATGAGAGGATTTTATGTGTGCGTGTGTGAAAAAGTGAGAACGATTAATTGCAGGAAAGTCACGATAGTGAATTTATCGGAAACGAATTCTTTTTATTTCCCGTATAAAATAACACGAAGACAATTCATTTCTATCGCTAAATTAACACTCGCGAAATTTGAAAATCATTGAATCGAGATAAAAATACAAAAATCAAACAAGTCGAATATTTTTTTATTTTTTTCGATTTAATTCTGAATCGATCTCGTCGGAATCCGATATATTTCTAACAATTAATTAAAGTTACATAAAGCAACGACTCGTAGATGACAATTGTAATTAAAAAATCTACCTTTCTGTGATCGAATAATTATGTTAATTTAAAGCACCTGTAAATAGATAGATATTGGATTTGAAGTGAACGATAATTGTTCTCTTAATACTAATTATATAATTTAAATTCGATCTACGGAATGGTATTATCGAACATTTTGCCATGGCATATATGGTTTTGATTAAAATAACACGACAAACATTAACGTACATTCCAAATTACGGTAATGATCTGTAATTATTTAAAATCGATTATTCTATGCTAATTTCGACGAATTGACAAAGTCTCATTTTTGATTCTAAAGTATCAGTATTATCATTACACTGACACACATTCACTTACGCACACATATATCGTTCTTGTTGTTCATTTAACCTAATTACTCTATGTCTCTTTCATTACTTTCCTTTCTTTTAATTTTCAGTCGAAGTGATGTTCCTTATTTGGGGTATCAGATTATGCATCGTCGTTAGAAAAACCCCGTCCGAATTTAACGAGAGTCGATTCATATCGATGGCCATTTACAACGAATTTTTGCTATCGGTCTTCCTCAATGTTTCAATGTAAGTTAAACCAATCAATAATTATTTACCTAAACGAGAGAGATGAGACATTTATTTTATGACAATACCGATACCGATATATTACAAATTTGTTTAAAAGTGTCCATTAACGTTGCCGAAATCAAATGAATAATTTAATTGGACGAATGACTGAAATAAAACTATTACGATAAATATTAATTTTTGCAATGTGATATTTATAAATGTTCTACATTTTATTAGAAGAAAAGAAAAAGTAATATACAAATACGAGTAATTGCGAAAGCATTTAAATATAATTTCTACGTAGAAATTTGCTCATGAATTTAATCAACTATCGTCCACGAGGAAACGTTGTAAATGGAAGAAAATTCGTTGCAATTGAATCCGACTACTACTGAGTAATCCTCACGGCAAATGTTGTTTTCTCTAAAGTCTATTCGAGTAATTATAAATTTCTCTCGTAAATTTGACAAAGCAAGAAAGGAAAATAGAATCTCGAGAAACAATGTCTATTCGTTTAAATCGAATTGATTTTTATCCCTTTTTACACAATTCCCCAACGTTTTTAACAGTTCGTTACTATGAGCAGAAATAAATGTTACCAATTTCAAATGACTTTTTTTATCATATAAATTGAATACGTTTTGAATTGTTTCTTTTTTTTTGGATAAAAATTCTCGAATTAATTATCGTAATGATTTAATAAAAATTCATTTTTCTCTCTTTCTATTCCTAGGTTGTTTCTTCAATCACCGGCCAATCCGGATTTATTGTACATCATATTTTTCTGTCACACCCAACTAACCGTCACGCTATTGTTGTGTCTCATATTCGGCAGCAAGGCAAGAAGAAAAAAAAATAATCTACGAAAATGTCCAAATAATTTTTCAACAAAAAGAAAAATATATAAAATATTTAACTTGTTAACCGTAGAGACGACAGAATCGTAATTAATTTCATTTAACTTTCTGTTGATAAGATAATAAATACATCGACATTAATTTTGTAATCTTTGACCAAAAAGCTCATGGTTTTATTTATTCATTTGTTCAAACCCAATCTTTACTCTCACCTGTTAACATTTAATTTGCCATCAAAGTAAACGAATTTAAAATATTCACAAACGGAGTAACCCAAACGGTTAACAAGTTAAATGGTGTATAATTCAACTAATTAGGAATGTAAATGTTCATCTTTTTTATTTTGCCAAGGCTTATGTGGTATTTCGTGGTTATGGCAAAGAAGATTCAGCCGGTAAACTTGTCGGTCCGACGACCAAATTTCTAAGCAAAAGTAACCGACCACAAGGTACGAGCAATCAGACAAATTCAATATCACTCCAGCAAGGTAATTTCACTGAGGAGAGCGATGGTTCTACGGTAAGATTATTTTTTCAAACGACGCGCTTATGTTACTTTATGTTTTTTCCTTTCCTTTCCTTTCCTTTTATTTTTTATTAATTCATCTCGGATGGATTTTTTAGTCTTAATGAATATTCATAAAAAAGTTCAAGCGGATAACCGACTGAGAGAAAGAAAAAAAGAATAAGTGAGAGAGAGAGAGAGAGATAGATAAGAGAAAAATTCACTCTTCTTAACTAATTAAACTTTTTTCCAACTTGAATCGCCGAAAAATAAGTTCGACGGTAAGGTTAATGAAACTCGATAATAATTATGATTAAATTTCTACTTTTTTTGAAAGCTTGAATAACAAAGAAAAAGTTTCTTTCCTCATCTTTGAAAATCTATGATCCCTTCTTAACGAATAACTGCGAATTTATTTCATTAGTATTTATGTAAAAAAAAGATAATTAAACTATCGAATAGAACGATTATATTAAATAGAATATAAACTATTACTGTTTTAAAATAGAAAATGAAAATTGAAACCAACAAAATATTTCTGTTTATCTTGTCGAACTTAAAAATAAAAATTTAACGAACTGCAAGTACACGAGCGTAAGTAAATTTTGAAACATTTTTAAAGAAAAAGAAAAAGTTTCTTCCTACTGAAGAGACATGAAATAAACAAGCGATAGTTGCGAACATTTTGATTAAAAAAAGGAAAAAAGTTTCTTCTTCCCGAAGAGATTTAAAAGTACAAGCGCGTTAGTTAAGAACATTTTTTCATATTCAAAATATCAAATGATCGATGACACGAATCTATTATAACTTTCAACTAACAATAAGTAATTCGTATTCGATCTTCGATTAAATCGAACGTACAAAACCGAACGAACAGGATTCGTAACATTGACTTAAAAATTTGAACCTAATTAGATAAGATCTATGATAAGCGAAAGTTTCTACGAGAGATTGATTACTTCCTCCAAGAGTTAATACTCTTAAACGTAATAACAGATCAATGATTCCTTGACTTAATAAGGATTTGAGATTCAATGGAGCATTTGTAGGTAAATCCTATAATCTAGATCAAATCTCTGATGCATACTATAAATTTAATATGAAAGCTTTCAATCTGCGTGTATTTGTAATTAACCGAATATTTCTTCCATTTTGATGCACAAATTTCGTATAATAGTTTTCTTAATAATTTCATTGAAAATTTAATATAAAATATTGCAATATGTAATATTTTAATTTTAATTTTGAATAATGTATTTTTTACTCATTAGAAAGTAAATTAATAAGTATTGTTTTATATTTCGATATACGATCAATACGAAAATAATCTAAATCACGAAGGTTTTATTATTTTTTCATCTGTATTCTCTTTTCTCTTTTGTTTTTTTTTTTAAATAGAAAATACATAAAAGGCAAATTTAAATCAAACATTTGATACCAACGTTAGATTGAAAATTTTCTTTCAATGGAAAGCATTTTGAAATAATATCAGATATTGTACAAACTGATTGAAAATAATCCTACGTTTCAATATGATACTTGATAACATGGTGTAATACGACATTCTATCTCTCTCTCTCTTTTTTTTCTTTTCGTTTAATTTACTGTGTAAATTAGACTGCAACTGACGGTTTTATAGATACAAAAATGTGTTCATATATACTATAGATATATATATATATATATATATATATATATATACATGCAAATATACTCTATTTACAAAATTTAGTTTATTTCTCTCTCTCTCTCTCTTTTTGTTTCTCTCTGTGTATATTTTAATGTTTTTCTAATTTCATTGTAACTCCACTTACCGATCATACCGTAAACATTTCTCCTCTTAGTTTCGCGAAACAATTCGCGTAAAATCACTGTCATCACATACGTATTAGATCGTACGAAAAATAATTTCGTTTTGTTTTTTTTTCATCCTTTTCAAAAAACAAAATTGCATTCGCGAGATTCGATCTTAAAAGCAATCGAATAAACTTCGATTAGGTTATTTTCTTTGAAAGAAATTAGCTAAGCCATTCCTTCTTTATCCTTCTCTTCAAATTTTTATTTTAAATTCGATAGAAAATTCGTAAAAAAAGAAAAAAAATGAAAAGTTGGTGAAAAAAAAAGTACGGCGAAACTTGTATTTAAATTTTAGGAGGAATTTCGTCGTCTTATAGCACAACTGGATGTTTTAAAGGAGAAGAACGTGTTATTGGGTAACCATTTTCTAGTAAATAAAATTGTAGCTATGCAAGAAGCAGCAAATCGTAATGAAGCCCAAGTATCAACAATTCAAGCAATTTCTACAAGCATTAGACTGAACGATCTTAACGGTTCGCGTACTTTTGTGGAAAGTGAAGCCGGTGTATCTAGTGAAAAGGATCACAAACGTAAAGGTAAGAGTAACTTTAAGGTACTTGAAAATCTTCTTATCTTTGCCAAGAATATTTCCTGAAAATATTTCGAATATCTTCTTTGGTTAAAATACATTTATTTCGGTAACAAATTCGGTTCGTTTAAAAAACTTCTTGTCAAATGTAACATTCGTTGAACGTTAGCTATGTTAAACCTTTTCAGGATTTATATCACGTAAGTGGACACTCGGTTTGATTTTATTTTAATACAACATCCGCGTAGATTTTATTTCAAAAATTAGTTTTAAACAATTCTTTTTAAATGTATACTTTTATTTATAATATTTTATTTGCCATACCCACCCGCGGGGTAATACGTGCTGTGCTTGAATGCGGTCTATTTAAAAATCACGTCTACCAGTATGAACGGAAAAAGAAAATCACTACGCAATCCTAAAAAAAGATAGACTGACTAAGATCTATATGGCCTTTTTTTTTTATTTATCAAAATAAAGAAACTCTACTAAATTGCACTCCTGAAAAGGTTTAAACTAGTGCCACGTAGATTCTAAATACAAAAAAAAGAAAAAAAGAAGAAAAGGAAGGGAAAAAAATGTAATACTAAAGTAAATTCTCGTGGTGTATAATAAAAGGTATGGGACAACATGAGAAAAAGTGTCAAGCATGTATCGAAAAAAATGGTTTACGAAGTAAGGATCAGCATCGTAATAGCTATCATAGCAGTAGCAGTAATACGAGTATACGAAAAGGAGAACATTCGGATTTGAGAGAAACCGATAAAGAAGTTCACGTTAGCAGCAGCGATGGTAAAAACGATGTTGGAGTCTCGACGTCCTCGAAATTAATCGTCACCAGCGAGGATATAGCCACGGAAACGAACCCCGAGCCGAACGGAAAAGAGAATGATGCAAAAGATAAGTCCAAGAGCAAATCCGGTCACGCCAGGACCCATGCTATTGTAATCAACCTCGATGATAAGAGCAGATTCTCGGAAGAGGTCACCGTCTAAAGGTCCATCGAGATAACCTTCGGACCCTTCTCCTACCTTTTTACTTTACTTTACTTATTTTCCTTCATGACGAATGAACTAATAATACGGATTTACTATCCAAATCTTTCTTCCTCGTGATTTTACTTTTTAAATACGTTTCTCCTCGATTTTTATTTAATTCTTTTTTTAAAACCAAACGTTTGCTTATGTATTTATATTTTTATTTTTAACTTTAGTATGCTTTGCAATTTGTCCAACAGCGCATATTCGGCGGATTGGCCTGACAGTGAGTGTAATTATAAGCTCGTAGATGTTTTTTATTTAAAAAATTGAACGAAGGATGGTAGAATCTTGTAAATGTAAGGAAGAATACGATTACTCGTTTGAAATTCAATCATGTTTCTTTGATAAATTAAATGTACGTATATTTACTTTCAGCTTATTTGTTTTTTGTTTCTTTTTTTATCTATTTACTTTTTTCCTTTAACTGATGCAAGTCAATTTATTTTATGCATGTATACGAGAGAGATATTGAAATGAGATTTGCTGTGAAAACGATTGAAATAATAATAGAAACAAAAAAAAATAAATAAATAAAAAATTGACACGCTTAAACTTTGCAAAAACTCGCCTAGACATGTAAATACGTTGCGACAACGCGTGCACACGCGCGTGCATCTAAAGTCTTGCCGTAATTATAAGCGCGAACAAAAATTGTAAATATCTTAAATATCTATTATATAAATATATAAATATAATATATTAAATGTAATATATAATATAATATATTTAACGATCAAAAGAGAATATGAAAATAAAATGAAATAGGAACTGAAACCTATTTAATATACGTAAGTATGCGAATTCAACGTTTTCGACGTTGGACTAAAACAAAAAAAAAAACAAAAAAAAAAAACGAAATTTGTTCTAAACTGTTTGAAAAAAAAAAAAAAAAGATAAAACGGACTCGTGTGATATAAAAATAAAAAAAAGAAAGGAATATCGATTTCAGTCCGTTCTGCCATATCATTTTTTTGTAAATACTTTGTAAATAAAAGATAAGAGAAAAAGAAACTCGAATATCTCATCGCAAAACTAATTAAAATTAATTATGTTTTATCTAAACATTCGCAGAAATGCGCGTCGATTACGTTACGAAATGTTTATAATATATTCGGTATAAAAACGTAATTAATACTTCGTGATATTATGCAAAAGAAACTGAAAAAATATGAAAATATTTAAATTACAAATAAGCGGAAAGTTCATTAGTCGAATCAAACGACAATCAATTTCTTTTATCATATTTTTTAATTCGCAACGATTTAGATTCCAGCGCTAGTTGATAATTTAATTAACAAAAATATACAAATCTATAACTCGAAATAAAAGTTGACTATTTAAGGAACCAAAAATCATGTTAGACATTGCTTAACGCGGTCAAGAATTGAAATAGTCGCATTTGTTTAATTAATTTAATCATTTCTGAATGTTTTTTTATGTAATTTTAAAGAATATACACATACGATAATAGAAACACTGATCGTAGAGTCCTATAAAAAAAAAAAAAAAAAAAAGAACAAAATCGAAACTGAAAAATCGGTCTACGCGAACATAAAGAAAGAATAAAATAAAAAATAAACAAACACAAAAATGTTGTTGTAATTGTCAAACGAGAAGGCGCGTTCTATTATTAGAGAAAAAAAAAAAACAAAAAGAAGAAATAAAAAAAAGAAATACTAATTCATTTTAAAATAGAAATAACAGTGCAGTAATTCTTAAAAAGGAAAGGATTATTTCTAATATCCACCGTGAAATTTGATGCTGCGTTCGATGTTGCGTCAACGTATGACATGTATATCTTAGAAAAGAAATATCAGTAGTGATTTAAGATCGAGATAAGAAAATAATCATGAAATAAAAATAAATAAATAAATAAAAAGATAATGCGAACATTCGTAAGGCGCTACGTTTCGATCTAGAGATCCTCGATTTTCTGCACCTAATTAGAAAGCACGAAACCCTATACCCACATCGAATTTAAATATCACTTGAAATGATATCGAATTATAATATTTCTAACGATCGTGATTATTCTTGCAATTACGTTAAAAACCTAACGTTATTGTAATACGTCGCTGTCATTTATTGTACATAAGTAAATATTCAAATGCATACGCGTATATTCAATGAGTCATAGAAATATTTGAAGAGATTTTTTTTTTTTGTATTACTTTTTTATAAAACAAATAAAGTGTCTAGAAAATTTGTTATTCCTACAACGATAAAAATAAACAAACAAAAAGATGTCTTTAAAAAGTTTTCATAAAAAAGTTGACTAATGTTTATATTTTTAATGGATTAAAATGTAATGGAACGAGCTACGCTGATTTAAAAGTTATTGTGCAATCTAGAAAATGTTATAAAATAATATTTAAAACATATTCTCACATACTTTTATGACTCATTGTACATGATGAACATACACTCGCCGGACAGGTTCCTTTTCAGACCATGATGTAAAATGAATGTCTTTCGATGTATGGTGTGTTCCACGTATTTATAAATACGTAATTACAAACTTACATATATTAGAAGATTAGAGATTATGCGAGTGCGAATCTACTTAAATTGTTTCTGTTTTAAATTCAAACAAAAAAAGATATAAGAAAACAAAAAGGAGAATGATTTGTTTCCGAAAAATCTTGATTTATGTTGGACCCATGTGATTGAATGAAATAACTCGTAAAATAAAAAAAAATAAAAAATAAAACAAAAAGAAGACGAACGACGAAGGATACAAATTTTCTTCGTGTTTTCTATCTATCGTAAACCTTTCTCTACCTCCTATTTCCTTTTAATATTAAAATGAATATCAATTAAAAAAATAATTTTCAATATATTATGCATAATAGATAAATAACAGAATATTAAACTCATATAAAATATGGGAGTTCCTGAACCTGTTTAGGGATCAATGAACCCAGGAATAACTAAAAGGATATAGACATTTAACGAGAAGTGCCTGACAGAACCTAACACGAACATTTGGCAACAGGTGTACGTATATGTCACGAGTTCCATCAGAACTAATTATTAACACATTGTATGCGGTATTTCTTGGCTGATGCAATCTACGAATACGTGGAATAGTTTAGAACCGAATAGGATTTGTACATTATTTTTTATATTACATATTTAAAAATTTCAAATATATTTTACAATGTTACAACGCTCAAAATATATATATATATATATATATATTTATATTTCATGATATGATATATATTAAAAATTTGTCTTGCAGATTATTGAAGATATATAAAATTAAATTAGATATTTTGCATACAATGTGTTAATTAATTTTAGAGAATCCCCCCAGTTCTAATGAGATCTAATTGAGACATCGTTTTTTCTTACTAAAAACTTAAAAATTTTCAAATCTTTGATTTTTAACAAGATTTGATAAGGTAAAAATAAATTGGACATTTTATTCTCGACAATTTCGAGGTCTGACGTAAAATTTTGTCAACATAAATTTAAATGAACGTTGCATATGTAAATATCTGTGGGATTTGTCTAAATACATGTGCTACAATATATCGACAATGTTCCAGATAGAATTTAGTTGCAGCTATATAATATTAATCCTATTTTCTCGACTTTGCCCGTCGACATTCTCGTTAAAGAAGAAATTTACGATTACGATATTCTAATTATCTGTATCCTATTATAATTCTTAACACGTTGTTCCTGCACCAGGCGTTCTTAACTCGTATACTTTGCACCGTATGACTTTATTTTCACAAAGTTATACCTTACTCTATTTCCTATGTCTACTCTTCAGGGTTTTCTGCTTGAAGGTACTCTTTCAAGAAAATGATCTTTACAAAACTACTCTCGTACGTGGTTATGATACACAAGTAATGTGTACTAGGTGTCCGATTTTTTTCTAACCATATTGTGTCAGCCTATCCTATGCACGAAAATAAGAAAAAAATGTTCTATAAAAAAGTGAGTCACACTAAAAATTTTTATTTTAATAATTAATAATTTTAATTTAAAATGTTCACGCGTTTAACTCAACAAGGATTATCTTTATATTTCCAAACGATCACGTTTACCTTTCTAATGTTTATTTATGACGTTTAATATTTCTAAACAGTTTTTTTTGAAGTTTCCTTGCGAAATAATTACCGATCGAAATACCTAAAGTATTTTCAAATAAAAAATATTCAGCCATTCTTTACGCGTATGAGCTATTGTAAAAGAATATCAACGCAAATTTCTTACCAGAAGAATCAAGCATCGTTCAGTTTTATTTGAATGTTCATTCATAACTACGTGAAAAAAATTCGTTTAACCCTACAGCAATGTATCGGCACTTTAAACAAGAAGAAGATTTACAATTTTTATCATACCTTTTTAATAAAGTTTCAAATGATCTATGTAAATGTAACATTTTTTATTTTATTTATTTTCGTATATAGAATACGCTGACACATATGACCAAGAAAACCTCAGACACCCTGTACATCTCATAATATGAGGTAGCATGTGTACATAAAAGTTTACGTAAAATCTTTATAATGTCACAGAGATGAGTATTATACCTGATATATCTATATAATTTTATGATATACACTATCCACTAAAAGTTTGGAGTCGCTATTTAAAATAAAAGAAAAACATTATTTGTAAGAAAAATTTTTTAAAATGTTTTTAAGGAGGTATACGCCACTGTGATAATAAAAAAAAACTTTTCTATTTTTTATATTTCTTTAAAGTATACGTATTCGAAAATATGTAGATAAAATTTTAAGTTAAAATTCCAAAAATTGACTTAGTTATAGTTATTTTATTGAAACCAGGTAATGCGACCGGTTAGACAATAGATGAAATGTTAGAACCTAATAGTTAGGTCCTATTCTATTGTTAAATATCTTTAATATTAGACAAAAACGACATTGGAGATGCCGATGAAGAACCGTCATATGGCCAGGAACCCGATAGTTTAATATAAGTATCAATATACTAAAGAAAACATAACTTTATATCAAGAAAATGCGTGTTTCTCAAAATAACTTTTTTCGAGCTTGTCTCAGTGAATACTCGAAGACTTATGAGTCGATATTCAAATTTTTGTTCCATCACAGTGACGTTCCCCCTCAAAGTAATCGAGATAGATTTATTTATCAACGACAACTTTGTCAATTACATAATTTATATTTTATATTATTTTGGTATCAAGGAATATGCATTTTTCTTGAAATTGAATTTCCTTCGAAAAAATCCCTTTTATATTTAATGACAACCAGACATAATCTGTACAATCTTACAATTAGTTTATCGAGTAAAAATCAGCAAAATGATTTCAAACTTTTAACTGGTAGTGTATATGAGTGTAGGTATATAGATGATATGTGTCTAATGTAAATGTACTACCTAAACTGTGACAATAAACTATGACGTTAAAAATATTCTCGAAAAAAAAAGTAAAAGGTAAGAGATACAAAACAGCATCCGTATTGTCTTTTAACCGCGATTATTCCTAACCGTTCCTATTCAAACCTATCAACAATACACGACTGACGATTCTTAATCGTTAAGTCCGACAAATGGTTTCCACGTTCTTCTCCCTAGAGCTTTTCGACTCTTCAAAGAAAACTGCCATTGTTCTTACCTTTCTCGAAAAGTTTCAAGAAAACTCGTCTAGAAGAAATAC